CACGCACACTCTTGTTATGACGACAACTACCACCTGGCCAAAAACATGGAATAAAACACATGTGCCACAGCCTTCAGCCATGATATATCCACTGCTAGATGAAAGCATCCAATGCTGTCGGCCTTTATATGATAATCATATAAACGTACAGCTTGTTGTCAATCCACTTCTGGATGAAGGCCTCCCCCACGCCACGTCAGTCATGGGCATTTTTTTTAACATACTTCACCACGCTGGTCAGTTGCAGGTTTGGGCGAATTAGACGGTGGCGAAAACCATCGTTCAGGTGCCACTCGTCAATTCAACAAGTTGGCTTTCGCCAACGTTATTATTCGTCATAAAAGTTTTTTTGTGGGTTAGATCGCGTCAAAGCAAACGTAAAACCACCTCCACCCGGCACAGCCAATCAGGAAGGTTTGTCGCGTGAACAGCGTGCCAATTAGGTTACTACTTCAGAACCATCCATCGGTTTGTGTGAACGAGAGAACAAAACCCGCAACACATTTTACGATCTGAGTTAATGACGTTCCGCTGGTCGTGATGACAACCAGCATCATCGGGAAATTCGTCCTGCCACCCAAATGCATCATGCGTCTCAACGGGCCTATATATTTAATCTCCTCCTGGTTAAATAAAGAACGGTACCACCACATTTCGGCCGTCAAAACCGTATCTTTATACACGAAACGGACACGGTGTTAGGTTACTCATTAGCGTTACACATATCGGTGATTAAGTCATTTGCCAGCAAGCACACCATATAATTAACCGTATCGTAAAATGGATACTCATCAACGCGTATGCGAACGTATTCGAAGCTAACGTGTACTTTACACCGTCCATTTGGCAGGCTGCTGTAATGCACCAGCGTGGACTAATTACGTGGCAGTGTGTTGGAGGCGTTATGTGGCATCAGGAGGGGATGGGACGCGACATGGGCCACCAATGGGCACAGATGGGGGGGGGGGACAGGAGGCCCCATGTACGAAGGACTGGTGGTAATGATGATGATGCTACTGCTGATGATGATTGATTGATGCTGCTTACTGCTGATGATGATTGATTGATGCTGTTTACTGCTGATGATTGTTGAGTGTGTGTGTTGCGGCTTGCTGATGCCACTGCTGCTGATGATTGATGCTGCTTACTGCTGATGATTGTTAAGTGTGTGTTGTGGCTTGCTGATGCCACTGCTGCTGATGATTGATGCTGCTTACTGCTGATGATTGTTGAGTGTGTGTGTTGCGGCTTGCTGATGCCACTGCTGCTGATGATTGATGCTGCTTACTGCTGATGATTGTTGAGTGTGTGTGTTGCGGCTTGCTGATGCCACTGCTGCTGATGATTGATGCTGCTTACTGCTGATGATTGTTGAGTGTGTGTTGCGGCTTGCTGATGCCACTGCTGCTGATGATCACGATGCTCCCGGTGCTGCTGCTGATAAAATTGCTGCCGTTCATGATTACGGTGATGCTGATGCTTTACGCTGCTGATGATGTTACTACTGTTGTTGCTGATGATGTTACTACTGTTGTTGCTGACGATGTTACTCCTGTTGTTGATGTTGTTGCTGATGATGTCGCTGCCGCTGCTGCTGTGGTTACTGTTGCTGCTGCTGAAACTGATCACGGTGACGCGAGGATTTATGATGGTGATACTGCTGCTGCTGATGATAACGGTATTGACGATATTACAACTCATGATGCAAATGCGATTGCGACTGATGTTGTTGAAGTGATGGATGCTGATGAAGATGCAACTGTTGCTGATGACGCTCCTAATGCTTCTGATGATGCTGCTGCTACCGATGCTGTTTCTAATAATAATGCATCTGATGATAATGCTTCTGATGCTGCTGTATCTTTTGGTTATGATGCTACTACTGCTGATGGAACTGATGTAACTGTTGATGCTGCTAATTATGTTTCTGCTGCTGATGCTGATACTACTGCTGATACTGCTGCTGATACTACCGCTGATGCTGCTGTTGATGCTCCTGATATTTCTGCAAATGCAGCAGCTACTGCTCAATTCAAATTCACCCATCTCTTTAAAAAAAGACCTTTGACTCTCATGCCAAACCCAGCCTCAGATAAGCCCCTGTAATTGTCAATGATTGTGTTTGCTGAACGTATTTATCCACTGACTTAACTCGCGCTGCAGTTCACAATGCAGAAATTGTGTGTGCATTGTTTGTGGGCACGTGTTGTTTGCGGAGAGCGGTGGCGCAGTGGTTAGCGCGACCCGATGTCGATTCCCGTTCACAACCAATTAACGGTGGCGAATATTTGAACCGATGTGGGACCCCCATAGGTCGACTCAGCCTTAAACAAGTATGTAAAACATCAGCACTGGGGAGACAAAGGTGGCCGGGCGTGATGCTGGCCACCCACCCCCTCGTGTGCCATGCCGGCCTTCATAGGTGCTCGCTAACAGCACTTGCCCCAAAAGTCAAAAGTCTGTTCAAGGCTACACGGGGGATCTTTGTTTTTGTGTTGTTATACACCAGTACATATACACGTGTTGTGTATTTACTGCACATAAATATTGTTTATATACATCACTGCATCATAAATGAAACTGCCTTAACAAGGAAAATATATGAGATAGGCGACGATTCGGGCAATGGCCCTACTTTTTAACACATGATACACCACACGTGATTCGTAGTGTTGTGCATGTGCTGTTTGACGTACATGACACACAAAAACACATGGTGTGCATGACACACACTAACTCATGCAATGGTAATCATGTGTATGCCATATATAGACTATACAGAAGAGTGATTGCCCGAAACGTCGCCTATATTTCCGTTTGAAGACCACACACAGCATCGCTAAGGAACGAGTGCCTTTTTTCAGTTATAATTGGGTGCACAGTGCATATATAACAAAGGTATGTAATGCATGTGTGTGTTCTATTGTGTACATAATACACACATATTATTGCGTACATACTAAACACATTACAGTGTGTTCACACGTGTATACGTCTCAAGGTGTATTTGTGTTTACAGTTCCCATAGGATTGGTGTGGGGAGGGAATGCCTTAGTCCAGCAGTGGATTGACCATGGCTGATTAATGATATGTCTGTAAAACAGTACTGCACACAACTTGTGTGCATACTCCGAGTACATTGCAAGTTACATTTATAATGCATCTGTCCTGGCAATGTGCAATTGATGTGGTAATCCGCACACTGTGTTTGTGTCTTCATTATCACATAGTGCAATACGTCTTGTGTTGCTGCATATCGAGCGTGTACTTGCTGTGTATGTGTGTACTTGCTGTGTATGTGTGTACTTGCTGTGTATGTGTGTACTTGCTGTGTATGTGTGTGTACTTGCTGTGTATGTGTGTGTGTACTTGCTGTGAATGTGTGTACTTGGTGTGTATGTGTGTGTGTACTTGCTGTGTATGTGTGTACTTGCTGTGTATGTGTGTGTGTACTTGCTGTGTATGTGTGTGTGTACTTGCTGTGTATGTGTGTGTACTTGCTGTGTATGTGTGTACTTTCTGTGTATGTGTGTACTTGCTGTGTATGTGTGTGTGTACTAGCTGTGTGTGTGTACTTGCTGTGTATGTGTGTACTTGCTGTGTATGTGTGTGTACTTGCTGTGTATATGTACTTGCTGTGTATGTGTACTTGCTGTGTATGTGTGTGTGTACTAGCTGTGTGTGTATACTTGCTGTGTATGTGTGTACTTGCTGTGTATGTGGGTGTACTTGCTGTGTATGTGTGTGTGTACTTGCTGTATGTGTGTACTTGCTGTGTATGTGTACTTGCTGTGTATGTGTGTGTACTTGCTGTGTATGTGTGTACTTGCTGTGTATATGTGTGTGTACTTGCTGTGTATGTGTACTTGCTGTGTATGTGTGTGTGTACTTGCTGTGTATGTGTGTGTGTACTTGCTGTGTATGTGTGTACTTGCTGTGTGTGTACTTGCTGTGTATGTGTGTGTACTTGCTGTGTATGTGTGTACTTGCTGTGTGTGTACTTGCTGTGTATGTGTGTGTACTTGCTGTGTATGTGTGTACTTGCTGTGTGTGTACTTGCTGTGTATGTGTGTACTTGCTGTGTGTGTACTTGCTGTGTATGTGTGTGTGTACTTGCTGTGTGTACAAATTGTGGGGAGCGGTAGTGTAGTGGTTAGCGCGCTGCGCTACGAACCCCGGCCACCAGAGTTCGACTCCCGCTCAGGGCCACCAACACCTCCCATCGTGACTATTATTATCTGAACCCGGTCGTGGGGCTCTTCCCCTAGGTCGACTCGGCCTCAAATGGATGACCTGGTTGCGGTGCGTTAGCATCGCCACTGGGGAGACAAAGGCGGCCGTGCGTGGTGCTGACCCACCTCTCACCCCCCTTTGTGTGACTTTCCGGCCTAAATGGGTGCTACTTGCTAACAGCACTTGCCCCAACAGTCTGTTGAGGCTATACGGGGGGGGGAGTCTTTGTCTTTGTGTCAATATTGTGATGCACAAATCCCATAAAATATAGTGTCTGTGTAATGCAAACCGGTTCAGAAATAAAGCGGTCTTTGTTTTACAATTATACTAAATAAATGGTTCGTTTTCATACAGCAGCAGATCTTCGTAAAGGGATACACACACACACGTTACACTTGTTGATCGTGTATACACATTGTTATATGGTCATTACACACATACACACTGCTTATGTGTGTTAATAATATCCACTGCTGGATTAAAGGCTCATCCCTCCCGTGTTCTTGGGTATGTTTGACCATACTTCACCACGCTGGTCAGTGCGGGTTGACTGGTGAGGAGCGATGGTGGTGGTGTTCTAAGGACCGGTTCAGTTAATAATCGCCACTGATGTTAGCCGTGGCCCGAAAATCGAACTCGTAGCCAGCCGGGTTCAAATATAAAGTGCAGTGGCGCTAACCACTGCGCCACCGCTCCTCACATAAAAACACACACAACAGCACCACCACACACTGCACAGTCGTCAAATATTAACAAACAGGACTTACCCCAGGGGGAGGTTGTGGCTTAAAGGATGCACAATATATTCTTGTGAGATAGATGCCAAGAACGATATTAATAACGATGATATTGCCCGCTACCTGTTGATTCTATAGGCGATGCCTATACACTGAAAACGGTGCCTCAAAACGCTTAATTGCAACAACAAAAAATTGTCACATTTTTTTAATGCAATTAGTTTTTTTTTAAATGCGCTAACTTATTTTAGTAAATGCCGAGTTTCCCCTTCCCCCCCCGCCCTCTCCTTTTTAGAGATGTAATTTATTTTACAAGGAGCTCGTTGCGAGCACCACGGTCGCGTAAAGCCCCTCGCGATCTCTGCCTCAACAGCGAGACACCCACACGCATCTTATCCCGCCTTTTTCCAGAATCGATCCGCCGTAACGTTAAAATAAATAACAACAACTCGAATCGATTCCAACAGCCGCCGTTGGTCCCCGTTGGGGGTTGTCTGCGGAATCGTTACGGGGGGGGGGGGTTTGCTTGCGTGTCGATTAATAAACGCGAGGGAATCGATTCCGCGATAGCCTCGGACCCGTATAGATCAGTGTGGGGGTTACCATGGAGACTTGCATAGCACAGGGCTTTAGACATACACACATACACACACGTGTGCGCACCCGTGACATATTCCCTTACGTTAAAATTAACGTTGTCTTTTTATTTAAAAAAAATAAAGTTATTTACGGGTTATTATTTTTGTTGGTGAGAGGGGGGGGGGAGAGGATGCATATTGCAATGCATTGCTGTTATAATGTCAACGATGTATACACACACACATCTAGCCAGTATATTAATAATGTATTGTGTATTATTTAATATAAGCACATATTATCCATTGACGCACAGGCTGTATGTGTTTTTTAAAAAAAAGTCGAAGTGATTATTTTGCTCAAATGAGCATTGAGGCATTCGTTATGACCCAGTGGTGGACATTCCACGTTCCTGTGGCGGGGGAGAATCTACCCAGACAATGGGCCAACGTAAAGCAACTCCAGACCAACGTTTGCCTGTTCAATGTTTATTCATAGGGCAACCGAGGCTTCGCATTCTCCGCAAAGTGGTATTAATTTTATCGACCTCGGAGGGGAGGGATGATGATGGGCTGAGTGAACCGCCAGTAGGAGTCGAACTTACACTCTACATCTGAACCACCATCGGGCCCGACTGTGTGTGTACACATTGACTAAATATTATCAAATAGCTACATCCATGATTAATAAAATACAGTTACTACGTAACAACACAATAGCTCAGGCAATACTAATGAGGGGCCGTCCATAAATGACGTCACGCGATTTTGGAAGATTTTTTTTACCCCCCCCCCGCTCGTCACGGCGTCACAAAAAATCAGACCCCCCCTCAATAATGACGTCACAAAGCTCTGCCCCCCCCCCAAAAAAATATAAAACATGCTTCAAAATCGCTTTAAACTATTGTCATTGTAGTGCGTATTTAATATGGCGCTGCACTCTGTTGTTGTAGGAGAAAACATTCATTAAAAAGTATATTTAATTAAGTAGAACGTGTTTGTCTATATCTAGTTAAAGTTGCTCATTTTGATGTGACGTCACATTTCTCACCCCCCCCCCCCCCACGTCACACATCGTCACAAACATCTGACCCCCTCCGCCCCCCCCCCCCCTAGGTGCGTGACGTCATTTATGGACGGCCCCTTAATACAAATGCTGGAAAAAAATTGTCAGAATTGTGTGAAACCACGGGGAGAAGATGGAGGAAGGAAACCAGAGAACGCAATTTTAATTGCACGGAAGCAGCACAGACCCAGTAAGCATGCTAACGCTGGGACAACAGTTCCAACCAAATGCCGACGTTGACTCAACGTTGGCACGTTTGCTGGGATGGTGGTTGATGAATGGAAACATCACATATGAAAGTTCTGGGCAAAAACAGAAGAATCAAGAACAATCCATGATGAATCCCACCCAGCACCATCAAATGAAAGCAGGAACTTGCTGAAGATATCCACCGCGAGCACCGGCGATCGTCAAGGAACGGAACGCGTCCGTGGGGACGTCGACCGCGGAGATGGAGCGAGGATGAGACCATCTCCTGGTGTGTGCAGCAGCTGCTGGTCGAGTGTGTCAAGTCGTAGGATCGGTGGTCAATCCACTGCTGGATGAAGGGCCTCCTCCCCAAGCCAGATATCACAGTTGAAGAATTAAATCATACGAATGAGTTATTTATAGAGCGCCTTTCATTCCCACGAGGTTCAAGGCCACTACACACGGGAATTAAACTCAGCCCCGTCACCACAATTGACGAGGAGAACGCTCCTGGGCCAAATGGAAGAACACTATTTGGACAATCTCATCACCATCATCAAAGACGGGACAAGCTCCAGGAACAACATTCGTAAAAAAAAAACTAATGATCAGATACCTCCATTGTGGAGTGACACCCTCAACCACTCTTCCATGCAAAGAGGGAGATTGCTTTCAAGAACTAGAGCCAACTGCCTCTGGGGGTTGACTCAGCCCATTATCATCCCTCCCCGTCGGGGTCGATAAAATTTATACTACTTTGCGGGGAATTCAAAACCTCGGTTGTCCTCTGAATAAACAGTAAACAGGCAAACGTTGGACCAGAGTTGTGTTACGTTGGCCCATCTTTTCCAGACTTGTCCCCGCCATGGGAATATGGAACTTCCACCACTTGATCATAACGAATGCCTCAATACTCATTTGAGCAAAATAATAACTTTGCATTTTATTTTAACACATACAGCCTGTGTATTAATGGATAATATGTGCTTATATTAATGAACACACAATACACTATTATATACGTACAATATTAATATACTGGCTACGTATGTGTGTCCAGCGTGTACATTATAATAGCAATGCATTGCAATATGCACCCCCGCCACGGCTACAAAAATAATAACCCGTACTGAGTAAAATAATTAACAAATTAGTAACGTCAACTATATAATATATTTTATTATCAAAACCATCATGTCAAGAATGTACCACCGCCACAAGCGTCGGCTCCTCGCTCTCGTAGAGAGAGACAGAGGAGAGGACGACTCGGAGAGAGACAGAGGAGAGGACGACTCGGAGAGAGACAGAGGAGAGGACGACTCGGAGAGAGAGAGACAGAGGAGAGGACGACTTGGAGAGAGAGACAGAGGAGAGGACGACTCAGAGAGAGACAGAGGATAGGACGACTCGGAGAGAGAGACAGAGGAGAGGACGACTCAGAGAGAGAGAGGAGAGGACGACTCGGAGAGAGACAGAGGAGAGGACGACTCGGAGAGAGAGAGACAGAGGAGAGGACGACTTGGAGAGAGAGACAGAAGAGAGGACGACTCGGAGAGAGACAGAGGAGAGGACGACTCGGAGAGAGAGAGACAGAGGAGAGGACGACTTGGAGAGAGAGACAGAGGAGAGGACGACTTGGACAGAGACAGAGGAGAGGACGACTTGGAGAGAGAGAGACAGAGGAGAGGACGACTCGGAGAGAGAGAGACAGAGGAGAGGACGACTTGGAGAGAGAGACAGAGGAGAGGACGACTCAGAGAGAGACAGAGGAGAGGACGACTCGGAGAGAGAGAGAGGAGAGGACAACTCGGAGAGAGAGAGACAGAGGAGAGGACGACTCGGAGAGAGAGACAGAGGAGAGGACGACTCGGAGAGAGAGAGACAGAGGACGACTCGGAGAGAGACAGAGGAGAGGACGACTCGGAGAGAGACAGAGGAGAGGACGACTCGGAGAGAGACAGAGGAGAGGACGACTCGGAGAGAGACAGAGGAGAGGACGACTCGGAGAGAGACAGAGGAGAGGACGACTCAGAGAGAGACAGAGGAGAGGACGACTCAGAGAGAGACAGAGGAGAGGACGACTCGGAGAGAGACAGAGGAGAGGACGACTCGGAGAGAGAGAGAGAGGAGAGGACGACTCGGAGAGAGACAGAGGAGAGGACGACTCAGAGAGAGACAGAGGAGAGGACGACTTGGAGAGAGAGACAGAGGAGAGGACGACTCGGAGAGAGAGACAGAGGAGAGGACGACTCGGAGAGAGACAGAGGAGAGGACGACTCGGAGAGAGACAGAGGAGAGGACGACTCGGAGAGAGACAGAAGAGAGGACGACTCGGAGAGAGACAGAGGAGAGGACGACTCGGAGAGAGAGAGACAGAGGAGAGGACGACTTGGAGAGAGAGACAGAGGAGAGGACGACTTGGAGAGAGACAGAGGAGAGGACGACTTGGAGAGAGAGAGACAGAGGAGAGGACGACTCGGAGAGAGAGAGACAGAGGAGAGGACGACTCGGAGAGAGAGAGACAGAGGAGAGGACGACTTGGAGAGAGAGACAGAGGAGAGGACGACTCGGAGAGAGAGAGAGGAGAGGACGACTCGGAGAGAGAGAGACAGAGGAGAGGACGACTCGGAGAGAGAGAGACAGAGGAGAGGACGACTTGGAGAGAGAGACAGAGGAGAGGACGACTTGTAGAGAGAGAGAGGAGAGGACGACTTGGAGAGAGAGACAGAGGAGAGGACGACTTGGAGAGAGAGACAGAGGAGAGGACGACTCGGAGAGAGAGACAGAGGAGAGGACGACTCGGAGAGAGACAGAGGAGAGGACGACTCGGAGAGAGACAGAGGAGAGGACGACTCGGAGAGAGAGACAGAGGAGAGGACGACTCGTAGAGAGACAGAGGAGAGGACGACTCGGAGAGACAGAGGAGAGGACGACTTGGAGAGAGAGACAGAGGAGAGGACGACTTGTAGAGAGACAGAGGAGAGGACGATTCGGAGAGACAGAGGAGAGGACGACTTGGAGAGAGAGACAGAGGAGAGGACGACTCGGAGAGAGAGACAGAGGAGAGGACGACTCGTAGAGAGACAGAGGAGAGGACGACTCAGAGAGAGAGAGGAGAGGAGAGGACGACTCGGAGAGAGAGACAGAGGAGAGGACGACTCGTAGAGAGACAGAGGAGAGGACGACTCGGAGAGAGAGAGGAGAGGACGACTCGGAGAGACAGAGGAGAGGACGACTCGTAGAGAGACAGAAGAGAGGACGACTCAGAGAGAGACAGAAGAGAGGACGACTCGGAGAGAGACAGAAGAGAGGACGACTCGTAGAGAGAGAGGAGAGGACGACTCGGAGAGAGACAGAGGAGAGGACGACTTGGAGAGAGACAGAGGAGAGAACGACTCGGAGAGAGAGAGGAGAGGACGACTCGGAGAGAGACAGAGGAGAGAACGACTCGTAGAGAGACAGAGGAGAGGACGACTCGGAGAGAGACAGAGGAGAGGACGACTCGGAGAGAGAGAGAGGAGAGGACGACTTAGAGAAAGACAGAGGAGAAGACGACTCGGAGAGAGAGACAGAGGAGAGGACGACTCGG